TTAAAATCTAAGTGGTTGCTTATAGTTGATGGTTGAAGTCTCTGACTATTTGGTAATACTAGGGTTTGAACTTAGGGCTTTTTACTTACTTTGCAGGCACTCTACCACTTAAACCATGACCCCAGCCCTTTTTACTTTAGGTATTTTTCAAATAGGGTCTCTTGTTTTCATGTTTAAGCCTGGGCTGTTCTGGACTGTGGTTCTCCTGTTTATACTTCTCTTGTAGCTGGATGACAGGTGCCACCATGCCCAACTTTTTATCATTTGAGTTGATGTTTTGCGAACTTTTTTGCCTGGGTTGGCCTCAAATTGTGATCCTCCTAATTAAGCCTCCTGATTAGCCAGGATTATAGGAATAGGCCCAGCTTACTTTTTTTTTTTTTTGGCAATACTGGGGTTTGAATGCAGGATTTCATGCTTGCTAGGCTAGCACTCTGCCACTTGAGCCACACATCCAGTTCTTTTTGCTCTGGTTATTTTGGAGATAAAGTCTTGCTTTCTCATTGGGCCAGCCTGGACTGCAGTTCTCTATGCTTCCTGCTGCAGCTGGATGACAGGTATGCACCACCATGCCCAGCTTTTTCTATTGAGATGGGACCTTGAGAACTTTTTGCCTGGGGTTGGCTTAGAATCATGATCCTTTGATTCCACCTCCTTGTATCTAGGATCAGAGGCATGAGCCACTGGCATCTAGTTTGGGCTTACGTATTCTTAATCACAGCCCTTTAGGGTATTATCCTGCCTGACTCTTTGCCCTGCAAGTCTTGCTCTATTCTTTACCTGAAGCCTTTTCTCTCAGATCTGCAGAATCTAGTCTTTTGTTGAACTCAGGTCTCTGCTCAGAGGTCTTTCCTAATCATTGTATTGGGAAGGAACCCTCTACCCTTGCTATTATGTTTTACTCTCCTTACTCTGCTTTATTTTTCTTTGTGGTTTTTTTAAAATATCAACTTGAAATTGTACATATATTTATAGATCTAAAATATAAGATCTATGAGTACTGGTCTTGTCAAATGTTTTAACCACCCCTTCTTCCATGCCTAGTCTGTAGTAGGGCTTAGTAAGTGAGCCCTTTTTGCTTTGCTTATTTTCAAATAGGGGCTCACATTTTTTTTTTTTTTTTTTTTTTGCTCTGGCTTGCCTGGACTGTAATCCTCCTATTTTAAGAGTCTTATGTGGTTGGGATGACAGGCATGCCCTAGCACACTCAGCTTTATTGGTTGATGTGGGGTCTTACTAACTTTTTGCCTGGGCTGGCCTTGAGCTTTGATTTCCTGATCTCTGTCTCTAGAGTAGCTGGGATTATAGGTATGAACCATCATGCCCAGCCTTATCTTTTTAAGCATGCTCTTCCAGCCTATTACGTCCTTTCCCATGTCACTAGTATTTTAAACACAGCAAAACAAAGTATTTATTGATCGCGTCACCTTTATTTCCTCCTTTATTATCCCATTTTAATCTCACAACCACGTGTGTCCTAGAGACTTCGTGCTTGCCACTTTGTTGTATGGTGAGTAAGATGTATGGTGGGCAGCAGTATTGCCTTTGGCATAGTTTTCTTACCTCCCATCTGCTGTTCTCTTTACACTGTATTCTCTCTGAGCCCATGGAGTCTCCTGTAGTGTTAAGAGATGAGAAGTCATGAGGTTTTGACTCTTGTATCACCCTGGAAGCGTGTAGAGGCTGTGGAGTCTGAGCTAGAGCTGTTAAGTCTTTAGTTAGTAGTTTTCTGTATGTACTTAGCAATGATGCAGGTTGTGAGGGTAAATTTGGTTAGATGATTTTAGCCAACAATTTGTTGAACATTTGTCTTATTATAATGAGCATAGATATACTCAAGACACAATGATTTTGTTCATGGGGGTGTCTAAAATCTAGTGGGCCTAGTAGTTATTTAACATTACTTTTAGTAAAATATGGTAAATGCTGGATTAGAAGTAACTATACGTCACTGGCAGAGTACATGGAGGGGTGTAAATGGCTCGCTGTGGGGCTTGTGAGCGGAGGCACAGGTCATAAAGGATGCAATGTGGCCACACCTTGAGAAACCATGGGAATTCACAAGTGGACAGGGGCTGTAAGTTTTTGGATGTAAATAATTCATGAAAACAGAATGGAATCAGTCTGGGCCCAAATGTTACTCCACTGAAGGTTGATACTGGCAAGGGCAGGTTTGGCTGTTGTGCTAAGATCAATGGAAAGACATTCCAGATTTGTTTTTAAATTTGTTAAGAGATATTTTATACATCTAACATATACATAGCACGTAAAAATGATTTCGTGGATATCAGAACTCAAGATAACCAGGAAGTTCTAACTCAGCAGTACTCTCAAGCAGCATGAGTTAACTCTGAGTTCTGGAGGGGCGGGGAATGTGGCTCAGTAGTAAAGCATTCACCTAGCAATCTTGAGGACCTGGTTCGATGCCTAGATTCAGAATTCAGTTCTGCATCTTACTAGCTTTGGGAACTTGTACAAGTTACTTACCCTCTCTGGACCTTGTCATGTAATTTCTACTTTATGGAAGATTAAATGAGAAAAAATGCATAAAGTACTGATGAGAATATCTGGCATGCAGTGCTCAATAAACATTTTTGTTGTTATTAAAGTTTATTGTAGGTAGGCGCCAGTGGCTTTTGCCTGTAATCTTAGCTACTCAGGAGGCAGAGATCAGGAGGATCATGGTTTGAAGTCAGTCGAGGCAAATAGTCCTCAAGACCCCACCTCAAAAAAGTTCCTTCACAAAAATGGGCTGGTGGAGTGGCTCAAGGTGCAGGCCCTGAGTTCAAGCCCCAGTACTGAAAAAAGCAAAAAAAGCTTATTGTTATTTTTGACTGTTCACATCAGCCTAGAGCAGGAGTTGGCCAACTGCAGCCTGTACCAAGCCCAATGTTTGATTTGTAAATAAAATTTTATTGGAAAGCAGTCACACCCATTCATTGAAATGGCTGCTTTTGTGTGCTATAAGACTGAGTTTAGTAGTTATGGTAGTGACTAAATAACCTTAGAAAGTCTAAAATATTTAATGTAGGGCCCTTTATAAAAGAAATTTGCCATCTACTCTTTGGTCTTTTAGAAGAAGTTTAGAGGATAAAATCGAATTCTTTAGCTCTCACAATCGTTGATGGTTGCTTCCAAACTTGTCTCTTTTCCCCCATCCATTAACTATCACATGACCCAGCAGCACCAGCTTTCACTCCCTGCTGTTTACTGCACGGCCTGCTTTCTTCTGCTGGATTGTGGTCCCTTACTTTTCCAAATGCTCTTTTCTCTAGCATGAATATGGGTGGAAGGAGGGCCAGGACTAGGGTTCAGTGTGTGAGGCATTCACTTGGTACACAATTTAAGGGGAGCCCCCATAATCTATTAGTACAGTATTTTAAAAAATAAAAAAATGCAAAAACTCCATGATGTACAAAATATAAAATCTTCACTCTTATTTTTTCTAGAATCTTAATAATTTTATTTTAAAATTTTTTCAACTTTTTTTGTGGGGGAGAGGCAGGGTCTTGTCCTATAGCTAAGGCTGGCCTCAAAGTCGTGATCCTTTACCTTAGTTCCTGAGTGCTGGAGTTACAGATGAGTATCACCATGCCCTGCCTAAGCTAAGTTTGTCCAGCCTTACTGAAGTATAATTGACAAATAAAAATTGTATATATTTAAGATGTAAAACAATGTCTTAAAATAAGTGTGCCTTTAATAATGATTTCACAATCAAACTAATTAACTTATTGGTCACCAGACATAGTTACTATTTGTGTGTGAGTGTGTGTGTGTTGAGGACTCTTAGAAAATTTCAAGTATACAGTGCATTATTTTTAACTATAGTTACCATGCTGTGTATATTGTATCTCTAGAACTTATTTTACTTATAACTGAAAATTTATACCTTTTGACCAGCATTTCCTTATTTCCGACTCCCCTTCACCTTTATCCTCTAAGTTCTGGGAAACCACCATTCTAGTCTGTTTCTCTTAAGTTTGGCTTTTTTGGATTCCACATCTGAGTGATAATCATCAACATTTTAAATAAAGATAGGATCAGTATTACTGATTTGTACTCTGCAGACTATAACATCTCAGCATAGCACTGGTAATCGAGAGCAGGTAACCTTTGCTTAAGCCACAGCAAATCCTGTACACTCATACTTCCTACGTGTATGCAGGAGTTGTTTTAAGATTCAGAATAATGTGCTGGCTGATCACATTAATGACATATGCTTAGGTCTATGTCAGCACTGCCGTCATAAAGTATAATTATGTACACATTTTGTTGAATGTAGCTTACAGTAGTGATCTGTATAGTAGATATGGTAGTATATAATTTGTTGTGTGAAATGACAGAATGAAAACTATTTCTACAAATTTTCAACTGGCTCATTTTAAATGGTTCACTGACAGCAGAGAAACATTAATTAGAGTAGCAGTATTGGATAACTCAACCTGTTTACCACGAGATCTGAAAGATCAACTGGTTCCCATAAGCTTTTTCTAAGAAAGGCCAGATCAGGAAATTAATTGAATTTTAATGCTTTCTGATAAACATTGACTGGATAAGCTTTTTTCTATGGCTGGCTTTCTAATCTGCTTTGACATTCCTTCATGGTGTTAAAAACAGTGATTTGTTGAGTAGGTTTAAATATGTATATTATTTGTAGAGAAGAAGGTTTGGAAGTATTCTGTAAAATGAGTTAAGGCAGAATGGAGTCTTATATGTAAGACATAAGTATAGAGGAATGGGCAAGATTTCTTTCCATTTATCAGATATCATATTGAGATGAGTAGGACTTTATTTGATTTTTGTTTTTGGTGGTACTAGGATTTGAACTCAGGGTCTCATGCTTGCTAGGCAGGTGCTGTACTACTTGAGTCACTGCTCCAACTTATTTAATGTTTTGACTAAGTAAATTACTTGTTCTAACTGACTATCACTGTTATAAAATGTAACATTGAACTTGATGCTGTCTTGTTTGTTTTCTGAATGCTTTAAAATGTTTTTAGGTGTATAGTGTTGATTGGAGCCAAACCAGAGGTGAACAGCTGGTGGTGTCTGGCTCTTGGGATCGAACTGTTAAAGTGGTACGTTAGCATTACTGTATTTAAAACAAAGACTGCTTTTGAGAGCATCCACTGAATTTTTTATTTTCCAAAGTATTCTTCTGTAGCTTTACAATTGGACAATTAATTTTCTTTTCAAAAATACACATTAAAACATCAGAATTTAAATTTTTTCTAGTCTTTTGGGTATAAACAAATAATTAGCTTAGCATTGATTACTTGGCCCCTTAAACACCATCTTGCTTTATACAAAAATAGATCTTTAAAATCCTTGAGATATGTATGTAATTTGTATGTGTACATGCAAATATATAGCATATTGTGTATTCAGTATATATAAGAGCATATATATGAATTTATCTATTAATTGATTTTTTTCATTTATTTGTAGTGGGACCCAACTGTGGGAAAGTCTCTGTGTACCTTTAGAGGCCATGAAAGTGTCATTTATAGCACAATATGGTCTCCACACATCCCTGGTTGTTTTGCTTCGGCCTCAGGTAAATAATTCTGAATTTACCAAAAGCCTTACTTGTAGTGAAGGGTGGCTTAGTTTTTCCCATTAGGTGGCACTGTGTACCATAGATTCAGAGAAAACAGAGGTGTACTCTTATTCTTTTGTGTTCTAAGGACTTTTCATTCTTTACCAACCTCTTGCCAAGAATTAGCTGAGGCCTAAATTACTTTTTAGCAAATCAAAGAGTAACTCCTAGTTTTTTGGTAAGGACATATTTGTGGATGGTAATATCACAACTGAGATAAGAAGTATATTTGAAAGAAAAGATCTTTTTGCAGGTTGAGATTGGAGCTGAGAAATCTGGCCTTGTGAATAAAAATTGTGTTCTTGGCTCATAATTGTAACTAAAGCTGTTGCAGTAAATCAGTGTACGTAGGAAACATAAAATAGAAGAAACTGTAGGGTATAGGACAGGCGGGCAAAGTATTGTCTTAGATAAATGACTCACTGACAGTTTTTGTAAATAGAGCTTTATTGGAACACAACCATGTCTATGGTTGCTTTCATACTGTAGAATTAAATAATTGCTATAGAGACCTAATGACCCACAAAGCCAAAATATTTACTCTTTGGCTCTTTACAGCAAGTGTTTGTTGATCCCTGGAATAGAACCTTGAAGGAAGATAAAGAATTGGAAACTTTTGTACAGTTAGTTATTTAGGGAAGGAGAGAGGCAATAGCTAGAGGAGAAGGTAATGTGCTTCTAGTATTGTCTCTCACTTAATTATTCAGCATCCAAACACAGGCAAGAACTAGGTAGGGCAAGTGTACCTTTCTTTCTAATAAATTGTCAGTGTCCTGAGTTGAATTATATTGACTGGCTTCCAAAGGAAATAAAATGTCACAGAAATCCTTTCTGTCAATTTATTTTCTTATAATTCTAAAAATTAAAAATAACCCAATGTCCCTGAATTCTGCAAGTATCATTATGTTGAAGACACTCAAATGGAAATCTTCAAATAAATTATATACAAACAAATATATCCATTTAGATTATGTAACTTTTTGAGATCCTATTAGTAAATAGTGGTGATATCTATGTATGGAGGCATAGTTAATTTAAGAAACATTTTGTTCTCTAATATGAATTAACAGCATTACTTTCTAAAATGAAGAACAGTAAATGCTGTCAAAAATTAACACGCTTACTTTTAAAATTCTAAATTGTCTTGCTCATAGTTTTATTGTCCATAATCTAAATTTAATCTTTCCCAAAATATCAAGTCTTTTGGGATGAGACCAATAATACATTTTCCTAGTCACATCTTTTTTTCTTAGGCTAAATTCTTTTTTGATCTTTATCTTTCTGTGGCACAGCTAACCATAAGGTGGATGTGTATTAAGTAAATAGTAGCAATATAAATATACTTAATTTGACATTAGCCCTTTAACATATATATATAATATATATATACACACACACATGCACACACACATATGTATATATATAAAACTAGAGTTAATCATCTTTTATGGTTTTAATTTAATGCAAATGCTTGTTTTACGCTTGTAGTTAGTCAGGTCTCTAAGATGGCCACAGTTCACTTTAGTAGTTCTAATTTTATCATTTTATATTTTTTCCATTGGTAAAAAGCCCAATGCAGAATCTTAGTCCAAGTAGAATTAAAATTTTTATAAAAGTATAAATCAGATTCACATTAGCATAATTTTCCTCTAAAAGAGGGATCCCCTTTGGTCTTATATCCTATAGTTTTAAAGGGGTTATCCATTTCAAATCCTGGATGTAATTAATGATGTTGAATAGCTTGTGTTTCCCTTCCAGGGAAGGCATGTCTGCCTGAACCCTGGTTGGCAACATTTACAACATGAATTAAATTTAATAAGTATAATTTTACATACTTGGAAAAGTATTGGTAAGTAAAAGTCCTTGAATTACTGATCAGTTTTAAAAGATTCTTTTACTGGACTGGGGATGGGGCTCAAGTGGTAGAGCACCTGCCTAGCAAGCATGAGGCCCTGAGTTCAAACCCCAGTACTGTCCAAAAAAAATTCTTTTATCTTGCTGTTGTATGTCGTTTTGTTGATATTATTTAAGGTTCTAAAATTGCCTTCATTTGCCTGCATTCCTCCCTTCCTTTCTTTTTTATATTTTGAATTTGAACCTAGAACCTTGTAGAGCTAAGCATATGCAATCATTTTTATGCCTATGGCCAAATATAAAATCTAGTGACAAAATCATGAACAACTGCATCTATTTAATCAGACAGAATTATATGTATTAGTCCTTTATTTGGGCTGTGTCAAAATAGCTCTTCCTTTTACATTGACCTTTGTATAGCATGCATATACAGTACTGGATCTGGATATTGCATATAGAATATTCAGTATATGAAACTGAATAGCAGAAAAGATTAATTATAGAGCTAGAAGTGTCATAATAGTCAATTTTTAAAACTGTACATTCTAAGTGGATTATATGTAAAAGTGGTGTTTTATTAGTGGAATGACCATTTGCTTTCATAGAAGAGAGCATCTGTTTAATTACATTATCTTCATGTATTATGTTAGAAATATAGTGTTCATATCAGCCAGGACTTCTTTGTTAAAAGTGAAAAAAATTGTGTGCCAAACTGCATTAAGGAAGAAGATAAATTTATTTGCTGACATAGGTGCCAAATCTAGAATTAAGTATAGCCTTAGAGGCGTAGCTGGATGAAGAGCTCTTTCTTCTGTTGTGGTGGCTTCAGTATCAGTTACCATAATGATGGCAAGATGGCAGTAGCTTCAACTCCTACATTCTCTCTGGTTTCTGTCGGGTAGGAAAAGTAAGAGGTTCCCTTTCAGACATCTAGAAAAGCCTTATTTTCTTATTGGTTCTGATGGGTCCCTATGGTTGTTCCTGAACTAATTATTGTACCTGCGGAAGAGAAATGTGATAGTTTGATTAATCTAGGCCAAGCTTAGCACCTGTAATTGGGAGAGGGTGAATGTCCTATCTACACCTGCTGAGGATGGAAAGAGTGAATCTTGATTATGTGGATAGATTCCAGGGGGCCAATATTCATTATATTGTCTCTATACACATAAGGCTTAAAATAAATCAGAGGAAATTGATGAATCAAATCAAGCACTGGACCTGCTAGTTATAAAGTCCTTCCTTAAAACAAAATAAAAGAACCTTAATTTTTTCCTGTGAAATTGGATACAGAAAGACTGTATAGAATTCTTGAAAACTTGATTTATCAAACATTTTCCATTTTCTTAAAATACTCCTTGATGATTTTCAAATATTAGGTACTTCATAGGTTTGAAAAGATTTAAAATTTCTTTCACTCTGCAAAGATAGATGGATCTATGTTATAGTAAAAAGTTAAGGTAACTCTAAAACTCTTATTATGCCTTAACTATTTCAAGGGAGACAAGAAAATTGCTTATCATACCATGTATAGTGCATTAATAGGCAAATTAACTACTTGGCAGATTCTCTTGTTTTGTTTTCATATATTTTCTATAGTATTGTACATTCTTTTATATATTTAAATACCTTGCATAGCTGAATACTACCACATTTTTGAGTGATATCACATGAGATAGGGGAGTACTGTCTTACTAAAATGTTTGAAACACATCTAACATTTATTTTGATTGTTGAGAGGGACATTGTCAGATATTCATTGAATGCCTGCCATTTGCTGCGTACTGGAGGGTCAGTGAGGAGGAAAACAGAGCTCCTACCCTCCTAGAGGAACAAAGAGAGATGCTAAGAGAAAAACTAGAAGCATATGGTGGTAAGGGATCTGACTTCCTTTTGAAGGAGAGTTACTGCAGTACAGTAGTTAGTAACATGGACTCTGGAGCTGGGTGCCTGGCATTGAGTTCTACTTCCCCCATGGTTGTGTGACTTTGGTCATGCTATTTAAACTCTCTCTTTCCATTATTGATAAAATAAGGGCAATAATAATATCCATACCATAGAATTTTGAGAATGATTGAGTTAATGTACATGAAGGATTTAGAACACTGCCTGACATAGAGTAAGGACTCTAAAAATGTTAACCTCTTTTGTAATATGAATTCTGTGAAAACACATAAAGGAATGTGTCAGGATTGGCAGCCCTCAGGTATGCTTCCCTGAGGAAATAGTGTCTAAGTGAGAGTTAGGAGTTGAGAGGTAGGAAGCAAGGTGTGAGAAGTGGAGAGAACAGAGCATATTTAACAGCTCTGTGCTGTCACAATAAACAGTACTTACCTGAGAACTAAAACTGGGAATAGATGTTTTAAGTAGTTTGCTCTATACAGACTCCGGAATGCACATTTGTGTAGTACAGCATACTACCCAGTATTTCTAAAAGCTGCTAATCATTGGCGAGCCTCAGCAACAGCAGTATTCTGGCTCTTAGTCCTGCTGAATCAAAATTCCCCTGGGGAGGTAATATTTGTTCTTCACAGCTGAATCAAGTGATCAGCCCGATTTGGAAAGTGTTGCACTAGTCTATAGAATAGCTCTGTCTGAGATACCAAATTATAGTTTATGGTAATTTCCATGTTCTGTTTTCATAGGAATATAATAATATGTTTTTAAAAAATCCACAGAGTAGCTTCATTCTGAATTCAGAGTGAAAGTAGTTACTTTAGTTTGAGAACTCCTTACATTATTTTCTCTCTGTTTTGTTAGTGAGTCTTTAACAATTATCTTGCTTTGCTTACAGACAAGGCTTGCTATAAAACATACCATAGTCTTCACATAAAAACAATCTCGACTTCAAAGCTGCTCATGGTTATGGAACCCAAAGTTATTAAATACTTGTTTTTAATGGTACAGGAAAAACTTACATGATAAGCAACCAAGATGTATTTTTATGTTTAATCCTGTGTCACACTGTAGTTAATTAAATCATTTAATTACTTATAGCAACTTATGTATTATATATAGTACATGAGTTATATTTATATATTCTCTCCCTCTACCCAAGGTCTTAGCCAAGCCAATTCTCTGTAAAAGCTGCCTAACAGCAACTTGCA